ACGGAATCAGGCAGGAGAAAGGTGACGGGCGAGTCATCTTAGTTCGCGCCTGCGCGGCTGCGCCTCTCAATAACAAAGCAATACCCACCCCACCCCCTTTGTTTCCCCCTCCATTCCTTCACCGCGCCACCGCCCCAGTGATCACAAGTGTGTTGACCATGGACGTATAAATAAAGATGGACCGGTCTATTTACATATTTACTTGAAGTCATGAGATATTCACAGTCATAGGCACAAATCCCTAATTTGACGTTGTCATATTATTTTTTTTTTCCAAGTCAATCTTCGAAATAATTTTCGATTTTTAGTATAATTTATTTTTAATCTATAAGTAAAAATGTATTATCTACTTAGTATAAACTATTTTTAGATATACTCATTTCGCAACCAAGGAATTAAAAGAAAAATATTAATTTTTTGATTTATTAAAAGAAAATATATTCTGATAATCTTAACTTTTGTAAAACTTGGCATCATTGGTAATATCAACCAATCCTAGCGATTTGACGAAAAAGAATATGGCGTTGTATTGATTACGTTCAAGTTGATAATTTCCTTTTTGTGTCTTATATACCATAATTTACTATATTTTTTCAACTTATCACTAACTGGATAAACGAAGAACATACTCAATACCCTGAACAGGTTAATGTGTGGGGAAGAATTTTTTAAACTTTTTACTGTTTGTGTGTTATTTTAGTTTAAATAAAATATTATATAAAGTAATTTACGATTTTATTTACTCCATCTTTATTCTTTTGTGTAAATTAATTTTTATAAATATATTTCTATACACTGAAAATTAAAATTATTCACCGTTTGTTGTTTCTCACTTATTCAAAATATTTCATATGTTTACGATACTAAAAATAAAAGCAATCAAACCAATAGTCATTATTTATTCAAGTGGAAAAACTGTTTCAAATAACTTTCAAATATTGAAAGGTACGCCGCTGACTTAAAAGGATATGTCACAGTCTATCACCTCGTCTCTTTCCCCGCGCCTACAAACTTTTCGACTTCAAATTTAGGTGAGCAGAGTGCAGATCATGCCTAGTCCATCTTTATTTATACGTCCATGGTGTTGACTAGTTGACTTGACCTTGGTGTGTTTCGCGTTTAAGTTACAAGTTGCATCGCATCCCATCACGCTTAAGTTCGTTTTTGAGGCGCAGGTCGTTGATTGTGTTCGTGTTTATGCTTATTAGTGCTGGTGCAGCTAAATAGTTTCCTAATTGACTATGACTACCAGAAAAATTGTTGCTTTTTTTAAACCTAACCCTAAGAAACAAAAAGGTTATGCGAATAATGAAAACTGCAGTTCGGAAGCATTGACTACAACTTCAATTGTTGATCAAGATAAAAAAGAAGACGCAATCGGGATCAATGAGGATAATTGCGATTACCATTCCCCTTCGACTTCCTCGTCGGTCAAAATAGTATCCAGGTCGGTGGGTTTGGGATCTGATGCAGACGAAGCTAAGGTTAGTAATGAAAATAATGATTTTGTTAATAGGGGTGAACAGCCAGTTTGTTGGTCTGAAGAACAAATTGTTGAATTTAAAGCTAAAAATCCATGGTTAATTGTGAACAGAGAACTAGGTTGTAACGTTTGCCGTAGTGTGAGTATTCTAGGTGCAGAGAAAACGAAGGGCCTAAAGATTAGTGAAGAGTGGGTTTTAGGAACTGTTACCGCTTATGGAAACAATAAAAAAGACCAGCAATCCTCTCTTAGGAAAAAGATATTTTTACACCGTGGGTCTCGAGCTCATTCTTTGGCTGAAAAAAAACTCATTAAAGCTAAGAAAGATACAATGAAAAAAGCTGTTGCTTCTATGCATAAAGAGCAGCAGATTGTAACTGAGCGCATTTTCCGCACGGCTTATAAGCAAGCTAAACTAAATAGGCCATTTTTTGAGTTTTAAACTGAAATTGATTTTCAAATAATGAATGGCTTAGATATGGGGCGAATCCTACATTCAAATGTTGCTTGCTCCAATATAATTCATCATATTTCTGATGAAATGAAATCAGACTTGATAAATGGCCTAATCAAGTCAGACTCTAAATTTTCCCTGCTTTTGGATGAAGCCACTTCAGTTTCAAACAAAAATGCTTTGGTGGTTTATATCAGAACTGTTCTAAAGGGAATGCAAAACCCTATGACAGTGTTCTTAACACTTTTTGAGCTAAATAGCACAACATCAGCTGGTATATTACAAGAACTTTTAAATCAGTTACAAGCATTAGGTCTAAGCTTTGAATTCATGAAAGACCATATGATTGCTCTAACTTGTGATGGTGCTTCAGTGCTACTAGGCAAGAAATCTGGCCTTGCTATACAGCTTACTGAAACGTTCCCCAACTTGTTCATTTGGCATTGTTTGAACCATCGTTTAGAGCTTGCCGTGCACGATTCCATAGAAGAAGTAGCTGGAATCAATCATTTTAAGATATTCATGGATAAAATTAGAAACATGTTTAGTTGTTCATCGAAAAACAGCAGAGAGTTGCTAAAAGACTAGAGGAGCAAATGTTGAAAATCGGCCGTGTTTTAGATACTCGTTGGGTAGCCTCCAGCTTAATGGCGGTGAAAGCAGTTTGGACAGATTTTAAAGCTTTGTACAATCATTTCATTGAAGCATCTGAAGACAAACAAAGGGACTCGAAGCAACGTTCAACTTACAAAGGGCTTTGTAGTACATTATCTTCTACAACTTTTGTACGCAACCTGGCATTGATGTTCGATGCTCTAGAAGAGTTATCGGATTTGTCCTTACAGCTTCAAAAATCAAGCCTCAACCTTATCCAAGCCCACAGTGATGTAAAACTGTTAATCAAAGTGTTTGAAAACCGAGTTGAAAACATGGGTAGACGTTCAGTGGAAGCTAAAATTGCTATTGACGATTTGATGTTTCAAGATGTTAAACTTTGTGTAAAATCCAAGATACCCAGTATTCCAGAAAAACAGTTCTATCGGAGCCTCGCTAACAACTTGACTTCAAGGTTGCTATCATCTTCAAATGCGGCTGAAAACTACACCAAAATCATGAATGACATCAAAGTGATCCACCCCATGTATTGGCCAAAAGACTTATCCATCACCTACGGAGAATGTGAGATCCAGCGAATCTGCGGTAGATTTAAGATTAACAGCTCTCAGGATATAATTAGAGACTTCAGACACTTCAAGCAGGGACTGAAGCCTATGTTAAGTGGAGAGAAACCTACTATTCTAGAGCAATCGCCGTCGTTTAAGAAACTGATTTCCATCATAAATAGTATTGCAGTGTCTAGTGCTGAATGTGAACGTGGGTTTTCTGCAATGAATCTAATTATGTCTCCTCTTAGATCTTCACTCTACATTAGCACTGTTTGCGATTTATTGCGGATCAGGCTCCTAGGACCTCCTGTGGCTAGATACAATCCCGAGCGACACGTCAAAACCTGACTGGCGAAGGGACACCATTCTGCACTTGACACCAAGTCAAAACAACGAGGGCAGAAAACTTACAATGAAGACAGCATTGCATTGTGGGAACTGTTTTCCTAAATCTGTTTTTTAAATATCTTTTAGAATTTCAGAACATTAAGTTTTTATTAAAATAACTAGCCTATGCCTAACTTATAGTTGTGTTCTGAACTCAAGTTTCTGAGTTCTTTTTTGTACTTACTACAGTTAGTTTTGTGTATTGTTGTTTCTTTTGTAGTTTTCACTTTAAAGTTTAAAATATTAACAAACAACTAATTTTACCAACAGTCTTGGCATTTCCTTACAATATTATACTACAAATCCGTCCGTACATATTTGTTTTATAATAAGCAAATAAAATAATCAATCTTAACTTTTTAAAACTACACTAAATTTTAGAAAATGAAACCGTGTTACTCCACTCTGTGTGTCATTTATTTTGTGTGTAATTAAACGCTTCCTTTTCCTTTCCAAGAAGTTGGTTTATTTTGAATGTATTAATATTGTTTTGTACCCATAAGGTAAGCAACTTTTTTGTAAAATATGCAAACTTGTAGTTCAAGCAAGCTGTTTTATTAACAAACATCCATTTACATATTAATATGTATTATTACTACTGTAATGTGTATAAATAAAACTGTGAGTAAATAAGGCTCAATTTATTTTTATTTTACTTTACCATTCTTAAAAAATTAATATTGGCGAGCTTCATTGATTCAAACAAAATGGTCAATGAAATCAAACCAAATATTTCTGGGAAATTTAAAGTAGGCAACAAGGTGTTAATGGAGTAGAGTAGAGTAGAGAGTAAACTCAATAATTTAAATTCATGTTTTAAATTTCTTACATCCTAATCAAGCACCTTAAAGAAAATAAACAGCATTAAAATATCACTTGGTATTTTATAAAAATGAATGTATTATTATGTCTGGGTGGCCTAAAAACAAAGGTTTACAGTTATAACTTTCAAAAGTTTTCCTGGGTGAGGGCCCCCCTCCTTCCTGGGGTGTATTCCATACCTACCGGTCTGAGCTTCCCGCTTTAAGAGTTCCCACACCTAAAATTTTAGAAATTAAGCACTGTGTGAAATCATAATTAAATGTTAATTTTTCTTAAAACTTGTGTCTTATTTGACCGATATTAGCACGAAAATAAACAAAATCGTCTTTTTCTCGAAACTTACTTATTCTGGCTTACTCTTGCACTGAGGGTGCGATATGCGTTAGTAAAAGATACCCATCACACGGATTGGCTATGAATAGGAAAATGTGAGTTTATGGGGAATAACTGAACGAACTTATATCGATCTTCACCAGTACCAGTAATTCTCAATTTTATGAAATATGGGAATTATAGAAAAGCGAAAAGGGTTGAGTTTCATTCTTTTGTTAGTAAACATTATTCGTTAGTAGAAGGTAATAAGCATAAGAGGTGCTGGTTTTTCAAAATTTTCAAATATAATCTATGAAAAGTATTTAAAATAAAAAGAAAATATGAACAATTGTACCGGTGTAAAATATTGCCTAAAATGGCTGCTTTAAAAGAACATTTAGCTACAAATAAGCACGAAAAAAATATTAGAGGAGATATAGGTTCTTCACAGGTTTGTAAATTATATTTTGTTTGAGTTTTGTAATAAAATGAAAAATATTTTTTAGATAGACAATTTTTTTAAAACGACGTCCATTTCAAATGAAGTAAAAAAAGACGAAATAAAAATGGTTGCAGTACTTTTGGAGCATAATATACCTTTTAGGGTAATGGACCACTTAAGTAGGGTACTTAGTGATGCTTTCCACGATTCCGAAATGGCTAAGAAGTTCTCCTGCAAAAGAACAAAATCCACTGCAATTGCCTACAACGTTCTGGGACGTAATTTTGGATCTAGGAAGCCTCTGCAGATATACACTCAGGACTCTTTTTTTCCATTATATTCGATGAAAGCACTGATGTAAGTACAGTAAAAAAATCTTGCAGTAGCAATAAAATATTATTCTAACAATTCAGAATCAGTAAAAACTAAATTTTTTGCATGTTTCAATTTGAAGGTGAAACAGCGGAAAGTTTATTTAATACACTTTACTCGGGTTTACTGGATCGTGGACATAAAATGGAGTCAATGATAGGGTTTGCTGCTGACACAACAAACGTAATGTTTGGAGCAAATTCTGGGGTAGTTGCAAAAATAAAAGAACTCAATCCTTACTGTGTATTTATCAAATGTGTTTGTCTTCCGGTGTCCCGATCAAATGTGAAGACTTTCGGTCTTCACAAAGACCGATAATCATCGAATTTTAAAACATTATGGGCTATCCTTACATGTATTTGTCAATAGAATTTTAGAACAATGGACAACTCTAATGTTATTTTTTCAAAATCAATATCTAAAAGATAAAAGGCAACATGCATCTTGTGAATTTATTTTTAATAGTTTCACTGATCCCATGATAAAGCTTTATTTTTTTTCCCAGATTTCGTCCTATCTATAGTTAATAAATTTAATACCATTTTTCAAGGAGATTATCCATTAAGCCATAGATTGTATAGAGATATTAATAATATGTATTATTCAATTATATGAAGAGCTGATGTGCTCACAAGTTATTTTTGCGCACCTGAAAAGTTTTTAAATACCAAACATTTTTCCTTATTACAAACTTGTCAAGACTTGATATGCTCACAATTCATTTCAGTTTTTCAGGTGTTTCTTTTTTTAATTTCTTGATAGAAACAGAAATTGCCAACAAAAGTTGGCAATTTAGACTTTACCAATTAAATCCAAAAGCTGAAATGTACTTTTTAGCTAAAAATGAAATGTACTTAGGAGTAAATGTAGCTAAACATTTGGAAAAAATAGAGCTCAACTTTTTTTAATTGAATTATCAGAACAATTAAAAACCAGGCTACCTGTACAAGATACTTTATTTGAAGAATTGTCTTTTCTTTTCTGATCCCCAGAACGCTGTATTTGAAGATATTTCTAGTCTTTATTCCCTTCTTTCTAAATTTCCTAATTTAATTCATGAAACATCGATACAGGACGTAGACAATGAATTTAGAGAACTGAAAATCAATACAGAGGTGTATAATTTACTTGTGTCTGGGAGTGATTCATCACCTGATGTAGAAAAGTTTTGGGTTAAAGTATCTCAACTGAGTAATACCAATGGAACCCCCAAATATAGTAAATTAGGCACATTTGCTAAAAATATGCTGTCTCTTCCAGTATCGCATATTAAATGTGAACGAATCTTTTCGGACATTGAAAGAATTAAAACCACGAACCGAAATAGGTTTGAAAACAAAAACGTATCTCTAATTATGGATGCTAAAGAGGGTTTGCGAGAAGGGGATTGTACTAACTTCATTCCTAATATTAATATGGTACAATCAATGGATTAAAAATTATATAGAAATATTAACGAAAAATTGAAAAAAAGAAAGACCCTGAGTAGTTAATCCTAATATTAAATTAAGTATATGTATATTATTAAATATTAATATGTATTTAGTAAATGTAAATAAATAGAAATAAATTATTAGAACAAATCCTTTTTTATTTTGAAAAAGATTCCAAAGTATGAAAAAATAAAATAGAAAATAAGTAATACACATTCACGACATCTATGATCTACAATACTAATGTAACATTTAAACCGAATATTTGTAATAAAAGGCGATACTATTGGTTCTCACATCACATAATATATTTTTTTCAATTTATAATTACATCATATGTTACTATGGTTCTGTGCTTAAAGACCTTATATTACAGGGAAATAGAAGAATAACTAAAAATGTTACGGTGTTGCTCCAGAACAATTGTATAATACTCAGAGCAATATAATAATATAATGAAATGTTATAGTATTGCCTGGACTATATTGTAGGAATGTGTGTTGCGAAATAAGCATAAGCATACAGCCAGCATCTAACAGTGTTTACAAGACTGATTAACTGCTGTTTTTGATAATTTTTATTATTAAACAATAATTACTTGTATGATTAATATGGATGAATTTGTAAATAAGTTAAATGAAGGAAAAGGCAAACAGTTTGTGTCCCTCCTTACTAGGGATGGGAAAAACCTACCGGTTTTAACCGAAAACCGGTTTTTTTACTTCAAAATAACCGGTTTCATCGGTTGTTTTTTTGTCCCGGTTATAACCGGTTTTTTATTTTTAAAGTAAAAACCGGTTATTAGGTTTTTACAGTGATTATGATTAGGTTAGGTATTATTTTGGATTCCACCCAATCATAATTATTATTCTCAAGTAATTATTCCAAACAAAACTAAAATTCAATTTTTATTTTATTTTATAAATACAGAAGCAAACTGAAAGTGCAAGCTCACATCAGCGAGAAACAATTAAATTTTATTATAGTATTTCGTTGAAAAAGTATTTGTAATCATAATATTTTTACATAAGAAGCGATCTGGTATTTATATACATCATCTATTTTTCACACTTGACTTGACATTGGACAAAAAATTTTTACCAGAAATAAAAAAGTAGTTATCTACTCTGATTCATGTGGAGGACAAAATATAAATTCACATTTTACAGCTATGTTTTTAACACTGCTCCAACACAACCCACAATGGGAGCAGGTCGACCACAAGTTTATGGTCAGTGGGCATAGCCACCTGGAGTGCGACGTAGATCAGGGAATTATCGAAAAACAAAAAAAAAGCTGGAAATGCAATTTACAGTACCTCACGATTGGTACCAACTAGTGAGAACAGTAGGTAACAACAAAAGTTTGCAGTGGTGGAATTATCTCACAAAGATTTTTTAATAAATGTTGCTGAGATTTAAGATGGCTGAGCTATTGTTCAAGCAACCCAAAAACCATATCTTTTAAATGCTCTCTGAAAGAGGGGGGACATTTTCGACGTCTGGATTTGAAAAGAAGAAATTCAGATTATCAATTGAAACCTGAGTCTTGCTATGCGTCGTCACTACCAATTGTGATAGAAAAAAAGAAAGACATAATGGATCTACTACCACTAATAACTCCTGATGTTCACAGTTTTTATTTAAATTTGAAGTGCAACGCATCAGTGAAAGCCAATTTGCCCGACTTAGATGTGGAAGATAAGGACTAATCCAACAGGATCACTATTTTATTATCAATTTTTAATAATTTAAGGTTCGTTGAGTACAATAATGTAGGTATTTTCAACGAAATAAAATTTTTCTTTTCCAAAATAAATGAAATATAAATAACTATTTTGTATTTCCTCTTTTTATTTTTCCTACCCATAACTCATACCTGAACTACATCAATCAATTGAAGCTGTATGTACCACAACAAACCTATGCTACCTAGTCTAGGAGTATAAGTCACTTGTGAACCTCATTTCTAACAGTACAAGTCAACTAATTAATTAAAAAATAATCATTATCAAATGAAACAGTTATAAAGATAATATTTTGTGTTAAATAAACAAAACAAATGAAAAAAACTGTTCAAAAACTACATACTAGAAACCAGCATTTAAAATATTTGAGTTCGATTTCTGAAAAATACTATTATTTGACTTATACTCTTACCACTTATCACCTTAGATCATCATCATCACAGTCATTAACATCTTAGTAGATGTGTTGTGGTTCATAATTGGGCTTCAGCAGCTCGGACAGTTTGATTGATAATATTTCTCCACTGGTCGCGGTCATCAGTTATATGTATTGCCTCAGTGTACTGTTTATTGAGAAGCTTTTTAGTAATGTCCGCCCATCGCTGTGGAGATCTTCCGCGTTGGCGTTAAGTCTGAGGCCTTCCTTGGACCACCAACCGCTCCATTTTGTGATCACTTCGATGGATATGGCCAAAGAACTTTAAAATTCTAGAGTAAACGGTACTGGAGAGACGCTGATCCGGTTTAATTTCATCCAGAACCGAGATATTTGTACGGCGAGCCGTCCATGGAATTCGAAGCAGGCGTCTCCATGTCCACATTTCAAAGGCGTCTATACGTCGTCGATCTGATTCTTTGACTGTCCATGTCTCGCATGCATAGTAAAATATGAAAAAGACCAGAGTTGAAACGAGTCTCTTTTTGTTTGTCATAGTAATGTGACGATCACGCCAAACCCCGTTTAGTTCACTCATCGCTGCTCTTGCTAGTTGAATGCGTCTTCTAATTTCGGATTCACAACTGCCTGTGTTGTTAACTAGAGCTCCAAGATATATCATAGATGAGACTACCTCGCATCCCGCAATAGATTGGGTTTCAGGAAACTGTTGTTGGCGATAAATAACCATGATTTTGGTTTTGTTGTAGTTAACCATGAGTCCAAATTTAGCACTTTCTACCTCGAGTTTTTTTAATAATTTAATAATTTTTTCTGGAGTAGAGGCTAGAAGTGTAGTGTCGTCTGCGAAACGCAAGTTAGATATCTTAACACCACCTAGGTTTACTCCTCCCTCCCAACCATCCAAAACTCTGCGCATTATGAACTCCGAATAGATGTTAAATAATAAGGGAGATAAAACGCATCCTTGGCGTACTCCCTTCTCCAAAGTGCATTTGTCAGACAGATATCCGTCCATTCGAATATATGCCAGGTTATCTTGATCACCTTAGATATAACACGTAAATATATATGATAATTAGTCAAGCGTATGGTCACGTAAGACTATAAAAATATCAGAATAAATGTGTACGTTTCAAACGCTAAGCCTCGTTTCCGTAAGAAAATCGTACCAAAAATACAAGTAAATATCAATAATAAAAACAGATATAAAAATGCACACAAATATCAAAATATATAGCAATAAAATAGGATCAGAAATAAAATGCAGAATCTAGGTGAATGATAACACCGTAACTAGAGTCTTATAATACGAGGGTAAGCTCCAACTGGTCGATTACAGAAAATCCACCTTCATTTACATCCGAAAATCCTTTGTTCGGAGGGTTTATGACGTAGGACTTCCCGT